ACCCACATCCAAAATCCATGTTGCTGCATTTCTCACCCAACAAAGAGGAGTGCTAGGCCCACTCGCTCCAGCACTCTCCATTTCAACATCCTCTCCCTTATTTTGCCTCGTCATTTATACCTTTAAATCTTTGACGCGCAACCTGTCGACACCCTCGGTCATCAACCACATCATTAGCCACAATTTTCATTTATTAAAATTTTTCAAGAATTTCTCTTTCCCCTCGCGTCCATCTCCATTTCCATTCCTTTCTCCACCACTCTCTTCCCAAACCAGTCTAGATCTTGCTCCTTGATAATCTGAAGGCCAATCCTAAATTTTAATCCAACATCACCCTTTCTATTTTACCTTTCCCACTTTCCTCTCTTTAACAATCATTCTCCCTCATTCTCATTTTCTATATCTCCTGCAAGATTTCCAATCTTTCTATCCATATCTTCATATCAAGCTTGGGCTTTGCAATAGATTTATTATTTTTTCTTTAGTAGGTGAGAATCAGTAGAGGAGGAAAATGGGAAGTAATATTATGAAATTTCCTACTTTTCAGAGGAGTATTTGCATTAAGGGTTTGCAGAAATATGAAGGAAAGATGAAAGTTTTTGGACTGTGCTTAATACCTAAAGGTGGGTGATGACAAAGTAGGTGAGTTTGAGACAAACCCGTTGGGAGTCACGTCTTAATTTTGCAAGAAATTGCGAAGTATTTAATGATTTGTAGAAAAGATATGTAATAAAAAAAGGACCTCCATTATTCTCCCTCTGCTTGTTGCAGTAGCAGTGGCCAATTTAGTTTTCCTACTTCTTCCTTATTTGCAAATTCAAGGTATTCAGTACTCTATTTGTCTATGGTAGTGATCAGTTATGTGTTTTCTGAGAGAAAAGATGAAAGTATTGGGATGTGGGGTGAAAAATTTTGACTAAAACCAGTTTATAGTGAAGGGAACGGCCATGGCGGTGGGCATTGAAATGCAGACGACTCCAACTCTCCAAGAATTAGGCACAACTTTTTATACTCCGTATTTTATAGTTTGTTTAACGGTTCTGTCTGTTAACAATTTACTTGTAATTAAAA